TGTAGATGGTGACGGGAGCCTGAGTCTCTGAAGTCTGTCAGCCCAGCAGGTGGGTGAAGTTCAGGCCTGGGAGCCAACTTACCAGTCTGGAATGGGAGAGCATGAGCCTAGGTTCAGTTACCACAGAAGTGATAAGGGGTTTGACTGTTGAAGTTGAGTGGTTTTAAGGACCACCCTTCAGCAACTGGGTTTGATCTTATACACTGTCTTACCCTTTGCTCAGGAAATTAGTTGTGGAAGTGGTAATGCTTAGTTGCTGAGATAGTTCTTTTGTGGTGGTGTTATACATGTAAATAAGGATGGTATTCACTTACTACATCCTGTGCTTTTGCCCTGAGGGATAAGCTTTCTGGCCGTTTTCTTTGGTTCCCTGGCACTGTGATTCTGCTTTTTGATTCAGGTTCTTAGTGTGGATATTTCGCTTTTGACAAGGAGATGTGGATCTGAACCCTACTTTGTTATCCCCTTAATCTCTTTGAATGACGCTAAGGTACAACTACAATGGAGATGGGTTATCTGCTTCAGACAACTTCTTAGAAAGGCAGGTTTGTGGTTTTCTCTACACGATTGTGAAGGGAGGGGAAAGAGTGAGTGTGGTGTGACTGGGAGTATGATGTGTCAGTGGGTGTGTGGCATGAGGTGAGCATGTGGGATGATCCGAGTGTGTGTTTGGTGTGTGGTGTGGACTGTTTGTGTGTGGCATGTGAGGTTAGTCGTGTGTGTGGTGCATGAGGTGTGCCAGCATTTGTGCACTGCAAGTGTGGTATGGAGGTATGCGGTGTACACATGCACACGGACCAGCGTGGTTGGCTGATGGGTTGGAAAGGAGACACTGATGAGGTACAGATGTTAGGTGTCCTGATGTGAGCGCCTTCGCATGCAGAATGCTTCCCCCGTCACGAGACCTTGTCCAGAGCTGGGCAGTGGCCTCTTGTCTCCATCCCACCCCATGTTTCCTGACAGCTTCTGAGAATCTCAGCCTAGCAGTGCCCCTTCCTGAGGAGGTTGAGACTGGCTGGGCAGGGGTAGCAGGGTAGGGTTGGATCCCTCCCCAAGAAGGGTAAGACCAGCTGGGCGGGGGTGGCAGGGTATGGTTGGGTCAGGGACCCCCGCCCAGCCAGTCTCACGTCCTTGGGGAGCAGTGCTGCTGGGCTGTATTTGGGCTAATTCTGGCTCTCACTGGGCAGCAGGCCCTTTTCTGGTCAGGCAGGAGCTGGTGAGGAAGGACCATACAGCCCCCAGGCTGACCTCTAATGGGTCACCTCACGTGGTTCTGAGGTCCCAGCTCTCCCATTATGGCCAAGGGAACATGAGCCCGTGAAGGTCTGATGGCCAGGTCAGTCCTGGCTGCACAAAGTTCAGGGCGGGAGCCATGAGGCGTGCAGCCTCTAGGAGAGGGAGCATGGAAACTGCCCCCCGGCTGGAGGGCCTTTGAAGTTGGGCGATCACAGGCCCAGCCTCACGTCACTCCTGGCCCAGTGGGTCACTGACATATTGACAGACTGCATGGCCCCGGCAGAGCACAGAGGGAGAAATGCCATCCACAGGTAAATCTGGCCAAACTCTTAGATCGAAATGGCTTTGTTTACCTGAGTGAGTTGCAAAGTGCTTTACTGATAGGTGTTCTGGGTGTAGTGCTGGTCTCAGGGAACATCTAGCTCAATTGGCATAACAGTTTATAAAGAAAATGTTCTACATTTTACCTTGGTGAGTAGCGTCTGGGGTCTTAAAAGCCTGTGAGCGGCCGTCTAAGATACTCCATTGGTCTCACCCCTTCGGGAGCAGAGAAGAATGAAGAAAACTAAAGATACAAGGGAAAGATTAGTCCAAGGGACTAATGGACCACAACTACCGTCGGCTTCTCCAGACTGAGTCCAGTACAACTAGATGGTGCCCGGCTACTGCTCTGACAGAAATCACAATAGAGGGTCCTGGACAGAGCCGGAGAAAAATGTGGAACAAAATTCTAACTTACAAAAAGAGACCAGACTTACTGGCCTGACAGAGTAGAGAAACCCTGAGAGTGTGGCCCCCGGATGCCCTTTTAGCTCAGTAATGAAGTCACTCTCGAGGTTCACCCTTCAGCCCAAGATTAGACAGCCCCATAAAACAAAACGAGACTAATGGGGCACAACAGCCCAGGGACAAGGACTAGAAGACAGGACGGGACAGGAAAGCTGGTAATAGGGAACCCAAGCTCGAGAAGGGAGAGTGTTGACATGTCATGGGGTTGTTAACCAATGTCATAAAACAGTATGTGTACTAACTGTTTAATGAGAAACTACTTGTTCTGTAATCCTTCACTCGACTGTACAATATAAAATAAATGAATAATAAAATCTTAAAAAAAAAAAAAAAGGTTAATGTGCTCAGTTGCTAACTGAAAGGTCGAGAGTTTGAGTCCCCCCAGAGGTACCTTGGAAGAAAGGCCTGGTGATCTACTTCCAAAAAACCAGCCACTGAAAACCCTACGGAGCACAGTTCTGCTCGGACACAGATGGGGTCCCCATGAGTTGGCGTCGACTTGATGGTAGCTGGTTTTATCAACAAGTAGGCAGCTCCCCACCGGCTGTGGTGGGACTGTCTGCCTTGGGCCCAAACCGTAATGTGCTCACTGCTTACCACTGGCTGCTCAGAATTGTGCTCTGCAGTTTATTAGTACAAACTGTTGATCAATAACTAGGGAAAATCTCTTTTGCAGTATTTGGCTTTTGAAACCTTCCTGACTGGAGCCAAGCCTTAGCTCCAAATTTCAGGAAGAGCCCTCTCTTCCCGTAACCACAGGAAATGCATTTCCTGTAGATTTGACTCTCCTACTCTCATCTTCCCCATTCATGCGAACTTTACTTGGGTAGACAGTTAAGTTATACCGGAACTGTTAATTTCTAGGATATTCCTTAGGCTATTTTATATAATTTGTGTGTAAAAAGGAAAGGCAGACCCCAATGAATCAGTATGTAATAGGATGGAATATATGAAAAACCTAACATCATATATGCTTAATAAATGGCTGGATTGGCCTCCACTTGTTTCATCCTTCTAAAGAGTGATAGCTAGAGATTATCTGTACCTTTTGGTCCAGTAAGCCCCCTTCTTGAAATCCAGCCTCAAGAGATACTTGGGTGAGCTCAAAGATGGGTAGATGAGAAGGTTCATGGAAGCATTGCTTGTGATGGCAAAATAGTGTTAAGTGACCTTCAGTAGAGGAGCCGTTGTGTGTTTTGTGATAGACTTGTATGCGTTGACATAGAAGGATGCTCAGGTTGTATTAAAAGGGGTGGGGTGGGTGGAGGGGAGGAAACAAGTTACAGAACAATATGAATGGTATAAACCTTTTTATATATAAAACAAATTTCCCTGCGTATCTATGAACATATATGTCTGTCTGTGCACAGAGAGATGTACATCAGACTTTTGACAGTGGAGACTTTATTCATTTGCTCTCATATTTTTGTTACCTGAACAGTTTACAGCAAGCATGTACTCATGTGTTAAACATTATCCCGCATGTAATTTGGTTTAAAAAGTAACCTAAAAGTATAATCAGGTTAAATTTTTAATAAAATAATAATTCTTTAGTCTGTTTCTTTATTCCAGTCAGAAACTTATTCAAATGTATGAGGTCTCCATAACATCAGGGGCTAACTCAATGATATTCTATTAGTTTTAAAAAAATACATTTATCCCCCCCACCCCAACCTTGGACTAAATGTTCCAAGCACAACTGTAAGAGATTTATACCTTATCTCATTTCATCTTCTCTGAAGTTCCATTTTGCAGATGGAGAAATTGAAACAAGGAAAGGTTATGCGCCTAATCTAAGACCACAGAGTCTTTCTAATTCTGATGCTCCTTGGTTAAACACAGAGTTCTCCTGCATCGCCGATTAAAGAACAAGGTTAAAAAGGAAACAATACATTTCCCTGTTCTAGATATTTCATATACGTGGGATTATAACAGTACTTGTCCTTTTGTGACTGAGTTATTTCACTCAGCATAAATGTTTTCAAGGTTTATACCTGTGGTAGCATGTATCAGAATTTCATTTCTCTTTATGGCTGGATAATCTTCCAGTGTATGTATGTGCCACATTTTGTTTATCCATTCGTCTGCTGATGGACATTTAGGCTGTTTCCACCTTTTGGCTATTGTGAATAGTGCTGCAAGGAACATTGGTGTACAAGTTTGCATCCCTGCTTTCAGTTCTTTTTGGGTATATATCTAGGAGTGGAATTGCTGGGTCATATGGTTGTTGTATGTTTAACTTTTAGTGGTTATCAGGGTCAGGAGGGAGGGGGGAAGCAGGAAGTCATTACTTAGGGGCACCATGCGTCTGTTAAGGGTGATGGAAAAATTTGGAAATGAATAGTAGTGATGGTTATACAACATAGTGAATGTAATGCCACTGAATTCTACATGTAAAAAATGTTGAAATGGCAAATGTTTTTTATATATACATACATACATAAAAGTATATATGTCTATGTGTGTGTGTATATATGTATGTATATATAGACATACATATATATGTATGTGTGTGTGTGTGTGTGTGTATATATATATATACATACACATATATATACTTACCACAAGGAGCCCTGGTGACGCAGAACTTAAGCATTTGGCTCCTAACCAAAGGGTTGGCGGTTCGAGTCCACCAGCTGCTACTTGGAAGTCCTGTGGGGAGGTTCTCCTCTGTTCTGTAGGGTTGCTATAAGTCGGAATCAATAGCAATGGGTAATGGGTAGACCACAATTTTTAAAAAAGAAAACAGTAATTTCTTGTGAAGTTGCTTGAAAAAGAAAACAATAATTTCTTGTGAAGTTGCTTTTCGTAAAGCTAGAATCAGTTTAAAAAACAAAAGTCTGTTTTGGCCCTAATCTCCTCATCTCTAAAATGGGGGGAACTGAATGACCTCCAAGTGCTTGTACAGCTGATATTCTGTGATTAGGGAAACTTGCTGTTCCTGTTCTCAATGAGTATTTGCTTCTTTCCCACAGTACGTAGGAAGCCTGGATGTGCCGAGACCCAACAGCAGAGTGGAGATCGTGGCTGCCATGCGCCGGATACGGGTGAGTGACCGGAGGGGCTATGTGGAGCCAGAACTCAAAACATCTCAACTTCTGGAGGTGCCAAATTAATGGGTGCACCTTTTGCTCTTTGCAAACCCCAGACCTCCTCTTTCTATACTGTTCAGGGAAGCTGTTCTGAGTAGGGTGGTTGAACTTGATTGAAGGTCAAGTTAAAATTCCTGTGGAGGGGTACCTCCATAAAATGGCTGGAGGGGGTACATTCTTCCTGTCTGGTGACCTGCTGCTTCTCAAAGAGAGATACATGCTTAGCCTTGAGGCTGTGTGGATGAGAGAGAATGGTGGAGTAGCTTTTGTATACAAAGATTTTAGGAAGAAGGTTCAATTATTAGCTGGTGATTGACTCAAAACATTAAAAAAAATAAAGCTATTTAATATGGTATAGGAGCCCTGGTGGCGCAGTGGTTAAGAGCTTGGCTGCTAACCAAAAGGTCAGCAGTTCAAATCCACCAGTCACTCCTTGGAAACCTTATGGGGCAGTTCTACTCTGTCCTATAGGGTCGCTATGAGTCAGAATGGACTCGATGGCATCGAGTTTTTTATGGTATAGAATATAAGATTTACTTCAATTTTTAAGAACAAATATGAGATTTCAACAAAATTTTCTTGGTTGGATGTGTTAGACTCTGGAAGTGTGCGTGCATTCTCTTCTGCTGTTTTGTGTACGTTAGAAAAGTTTGGTAAACATCCCAACCTGTTACTTTCTGACTCTGTGGTACACAGAGCAGAGATTGAACAAGATGTACGTTGTCTCTTGATCACTGTCAAGGAGTTGGTCCATGTGTTCACAGAAGAAATTACTATACACTTAGACATTTCACAGATAGGTTTGGGATTGCAGTTTTTCACTTGGTCTCATGAGGATGTGCAAATTTCATTATATTAGTTTTTAGAGAGAATAGGTTGTTGGAGGAGGCTGGATTGGTCATACCTGGATGTAGCCGGGTTTGGCCTCATTGTCCTTCAGGGTAATCTACTCACAAAACATGCAGCAGATGCTGAATGCTTTATTTTGCTTGGCCAGTTATAGTTTAGTCAATTCTTCATCTGATTGACAGAAATCTTAATTCAGTGAGAGCAACTTTGAGAAGAAAATTCATGTCTGCTGATGTTTCTCTGGGCAGTTCATCAACCTAATAAAATAATCTTTTCACTGCCTTAACCTTCCCAGGCTTTCAGCATTTTTTATTGTTGAATTTATTGAAATTACTATTAAATATAACAATCCTATTTTTCTTGAATATAATAATGTGTAGCTTCAAAGTAAGGAGCCCTGGAGGCCCAAAGGTGAAGCGCTCGGCTGCTAACCAGAAGGTTGGTGGTTTGAAACCCACCAGTGGCTCCATGGGAGAAAAGACCTGGTGATCTGCCCCTGTAAAGATTACAGCCTAGGAAACCCTATGGTGCAGTTCTCCTCTGTCATATGGGGTCACTATGAGTAGGAATCCACTCGATGGCACACGATAACAGCTTCAAAGTACTTTCACATGAGTTATTTCATTTAATTGCACATAACAAGCTGTGAAGTGGGGGTCATAGTACCCTCATTTTGTAGATTAAAATGAGGCTTAAAGGGGAGAATGAAGACTCAGAGGGGTCTAGGAAGTGGTAGGCATGGGGCCTGAATGCAGTTTTTCACTTGGTCTCATGAGATCGTGCAAATTTCATCATCCTTCCCACTTCAGAGTTCGTGTTCAGATTTGATATTTTCCAGGCTTCTTCTCCTCCTTTGCCTTCCAGCTCAGAGAGAAAGCACAGAGGCCTCGGCTGGGAAATATTTGGTGGTGTTACGATTGTTAGAGGGGCTCTGGTGGTGCAGTGGTTAAGCGCTCGGCTGCTAACCGAAAAGCTGGTTGTTTGAACCCACCAGCTGCTCTGTGGGAGAAAGATGTGTCAGTCTGTTCCCGTAAAGAAAACAGTCTTGGAAATCCTGTGGGGCAGTTCTACTCTGTCCTATAGGGTTGCTATGAGTTGGAATCAGTTCAACGGCAAGGGCGACCATTGTTGGGGTGGGCTACTGTCCTCACCGTTGTTGTCATTGTTGCTGCCGTGATAAGGAGGACTGGACCTGGAGCTGGCCTCTCCTTGAGATTTCAATCAAAAAAAGTCCCTCTTTCGTGTTTGACTAAGGGGTGGGGAATATGTTATTGTTAATATCACTATCGTTAGTAATAAAACCAAAACCATACTCATTGCCGTTGAGTCAATTCTGAATCATGGTGACCCTATAGGACAGAGTAGAGCTTCCCCATAGATTTCTAAGGCTGTAAATCTTTAAGGAAGCAGATTGCCACATCTTTCTTCCGTGGAGTAGCTGGTGGGTTTGAAATGGGCTTTCAGTTAGCAGGTGAACACTTAATCACTGTGCCACCAGGGCTCCCCATCATTATTAATAGTAGCTATCAATAATAATCAAAACCTGTTGCCGTTGAGTTGATTGCGACTCATAGCGGTCAGTAATAATAGCTACTGTTTATTCAACACTACGTGTCAGATGCTTTCTTGGGCTTTTAAATATTAAAATAATGTTTTGTCATTTTATTTATTGTTTATAACTACTCTAGATACGAGGTAAAGATACTCTAGAGGTAAATATATTATTATTTGAAAACCTTTGGGATCACAACAGAATATTGTCCGATATGGTGCTGGAAGATGAGCCCCCTAGATTGGAAGGTACTACACAATTGTTGCAACAATGGGCTCAAACATACCAGTGATCATGAAGATGGTACAGGACTGGGCAGTGTTTTATTCTGCTCTCCATAAGGTCACTATGAACTGGAGCTGACTTGATGGCAACTAACAACACAGATAAGGAAATGGAAGCTCTGGAAGGTCAAATTGCTGTTGATAGGTGGAGCTGGGATTCACACCCAAGACTGTGCTGCCTCCTCTGAGACCTGCTGAAGACTCTTTGTGATGCTAATGTGGGTGATGACCAGAGTTCAGAAGCCAAAGGATTAGGGTATGAAACCTCTGCAGGAAGAGAGGCAGTGGCAGAAGAGCAACCTTGCAGAACTTTGTACAGGTAAACATCACCTTGAAGCAGAGGAAGGCTGGGACATGGGATCTGGAGGCCTTTGGGGCTGGAGTGATGTCCTGGCCTCCTCTCCCCTCTTCTCCTGCCAGCCCGCTGGCCCATGTGTCTTCCTGCAACTACCTTCCCTGTGAGCTGCTTCCAGCCCTTATGACAAGCTTAAATTACTGTACCCGTTGCCATCAAGTTAATTCTGACTTATAGCGACCCTATAAGGCTGGTTAGAACTGCCCCATTGGGTTTCCAAGGCTGTAATTTTTATGGAAGCAGACTGCCACATCTTTCTTCCACAGGGCAGCTGGTGGTTTTGAACCACTGACCTCTTGGTTTGCAGCCGGGCGCTTAACCACTGTGCCACCAGAGCTCTTTTCATTGAATTAGAGGAAGGAATTAATTGGCCAGAAAGCTGTTTGGTTTGGCTGTCCAGTCACTTGTTTAGACTGGCCACCATTAACAGCAAAACTCTGGGTGTGTGTTTTATCCCAAACCCCATAATTCCCCAGGCTGCTATTTTCTCCCTTTCAAAAGCTGTTTTGGCTGTAATTACAGCTATCAGGAACTGGGGCATGGGATTTTTGTGTAAAGGGCTATTCCTGACTCCGTCCTTTTATGTTGAATGGTGCTGGAGTAACACGGAACAGGAGACTGCAGGGTTTTGGTTGCTGGGTGCTCTCACGGTTTCGCAAGACGCAGACCCCACAGCTTGGCCAGAGGAGCGGGTAGTCCCCAGAAGAATTTATGATAAGGGTCACAGTGCCTACATCTGTGAAATGCTTGTGCCTTGCCAAGCACTTTACTTGCCAATCTCGCTGGTCCTCTCTGGAGCTCTGTGCAGGACAGGTGATGGACAGTTAAGATGGTCTCCACTTGTCAGATGGGCAAGTGCTCAGAGCAGAGAAGTAATCTGCCTGAGGGCACCCAGATTCATCCTTTGAGCTGGGTCTCTGACAGATGTATGGGGTTTCTCTCCCTTCCCCCGTTCTACACCCATTGTTGACCCTGAGCTAAATACATGAACTTAGTTGATTTGACTGCTGTTTTTCCCTTTCTCTCTATTTCTCATTTCTTCCTCACATTTTTTATTTCCTTTCCAAAATTATATTATCTGTCTTGGGCATCTTTTTTTTTTAAATTCAAGTACTTTCAAGATATTTTTTTTCTCAGTGACATGTGTACCACCTTGGGTGTTGACCCTTTCTTTAGATAGGTGAGTTTTTCTTTTCTGGTAAGGAACTGTTGGACCAGAACCACTAAGCACATTGGATGTTTCTGGGTGGTCTTTGGAAGCAAAACATGCATCCACAATGGATTGCCAGGTTGTTTGCTGTCACAGGGGCTTCCTGGCTGAACTGCTTCTGGCCAGGGCCTAGGAGTTCCTTATACTGTACTTCAAAGTACTAGGTTTGGGACTGTTCCTTGTGGATAGGACTACATGTTAGCAGAGTGCTTAGTACCGGAAAGCACCTGAGTGAATGAATTCATCAGGGCTTCTTAAAAATCTCCTGACTTTAGCCTTTTCACCTTCGCCTTCTCTAACAATCCCCCAAGTGTATCACTTCTGGCCCTGATCACCCTGGAACTCTGCCCGGTGACCAGTGTTGGCCTGTTCCTGGGACAGTGTGTTTGGAGGCTGCTTAGAGTGGAGGCCATGCTGGTGAAGCCTGAGACCTGGGAAGTGGTGGAGGAAGGCGTAAGGAACAGGAGAGCCAGCCCTGCCCCAGCTGGGCAAGGGTGTTTAGTGCCTCCTCAGGCCTTATGACTAATTATTACTCACATGTATTTTAACTCCTACATTTACAACTTTAGAAATACCTTTGCACACATTACTTCGTTTGATCAGCCCAGTGTGTTCCTATTTGTTATCCCTCTTTAATGATAGGTAGGCAGGTGGGGCAGAGGAGGAAGGGACACCTAGCTCACTATCCACATAGGCCAGCATGGT